GACCTGGGGTAGGACTGGGTCTGGGGTCTCCCGGAACACCCAGCTGGAATTTAATTTTTAGATTAAATAAGAAAGGCTGTAGAATAGACAAACTTGAATTTTCCCAAGAATATTTTTTGTTTATAAATTTATCTCACTAGTTTTGTTTGTTTGTTGAGAGGAGGTCTCGCCATGTAGTTCAGGCTGTCCCTGAATTCACTATATAGCCCAGGCTGACCTCGAACTTGCGGCAGTCTTCCTGCCTCAGCCTCTCAGTGTTGGGATTACAGATGTGCCTCACCACACTGGCTAATATAAATTTAATTTAAATATTATTTTTACTCAAACATTTGCTTTAGGGCTACTTTTTATCATGGTAAAAATAGATGTGGATTCCAACAAGTTCATGAAATATACTGTCATTCTGAAACTTTTATCATTTTACTTCAATTATATTTGTTTTTTTAAATGTTTCCTTAAATCATTGTTGAGTCAATGAAATATTAAATAGAAGCATTAGCAGTTAATGCTTAAAATTTTTATTTTGACCAATTTTACATGCTTGTGTCTGTAATCTGAGCAACTACATTAAAGACAACAGTGTGCTATATGATAACCATTGTTAAATACCCAAAAAGATTCAGTGCTATACTATCATTTATAATATAGATTATGCAAAGTATGGTCTTTATGCAGTGTTTTAACAAGTGAACCTTTAAATTATTGTAGTTAATTTGAGAATTTGACTTATTGCGTAATGATTTGGAAGATTAAAGACACAACTTAAAAAAAAAGAAAATTGAGTACAGTAAAAGACACAGTATCATTAATCTCTCACAGATTAGTCTTTCTCACTTTGTACACGTTTATTCCGTCATTCTTGCCACTTTTTGATGGAGTTCTGGAAGTCCTGTCTCGTGAGTATCTTTATGAGGCGATAAAAATATGGTGACCACTGCTGCTGAGTGCTGTCTCATGGAAAGCAGACTCCTAAAAACCTTGTGTGTCCTCTTACCCTCCTTACTTGCAGATAATTTGGTACTTGTGACTTCTGGCTCTTCCCCCAAAGTCAGAGGTCATGATAGGTAGGTATTCTGAACAGTTCAAGGTGTTGAGGCAGCCATGGCAGTGCTATTGCTTCACAAAGAGTAAGAATGATAGAATAAGTGTGTCTGAAGTGAGGGAAAGTTTTATAAGGGGGATTAATGACAATGAGCCTTTTGGTGTAATAATCTTAAAAAAAAATTAACAGTGTATTTTGATTTCTTGCAGTGGACTTTTGAACAATAGCTTATAGGCTGTGATACATAAATAATGCATGCTATTTAGTTTGAAAGCTTTTTCTTTCTCTTTCATGGCACTAGGGATTGAACAGAGGCTTAAGGGCATACTAGTCAAGTACTTCTCTATTTGGATGTTCTTTTATCTTTGGATGCATGAGTAAATTTTCAGGATCTACAAACTTACAAATTGTACCTAATTTTGTATATTTTTGTCATTTTCTAGGGGAGATGATCTAGAGTCACTTGTCCAATGTGCCTACTTAATTTACAGTTATTAAAATTAAATAAAAATTTAAAATTCAGTTCCTTGGTCAACCTGCTAGTCATATTGCAGTGCTCAAACCTGCTAGCCATAGCAGTCCAGGGTAGGATAGTGTAGAACACCCCGAAGTTCTGTTTGTGGCACTGTGTAGCTTTCATCATGTTAGGGACCACAGTCTTTAGGGTTTTACATTAATGAAACAGATATTCTACAGTCAAGTTTGGTTAGTACCAAGGTAGAATTGACAAATTGACACACCAGGTACCTGTTCTCTAAAAATTTTAAGTAGGTGTTTAATGAACTTTTCTTCACCTGTCTACCAGTTATTTTGTCTTTTAGAAAAGGCTGCTTAGCCACCAAATCATTGAAAAAGCAGATGAAGGAAAAATCAACTATTTCAGTATTTTAGAAGGAATGAATATATTTTCACTAACTTATTTAGATACTAGAAAATTTTGATGACTGCAAACAGCAAGTAATTGTTCCTTATGTTTTGATTTATCTTATTTCTAGAAATGCTTGAGTAGGATACATTTACGAGGAAGAACTGAAGAGCAAGGCATCCCTCTTGAATATTTAGAGAAGCTGCACTATAAACATGAAAGCTGGCTCCTGCATCGGACACTGAAGTAAGTCTCCTCCTTCCTATGTGCTCATCATTCTGAACTCCTGTGTTAGCTTCTAATCTAATACTTGGAAGCTGTGACTAGCAACGTGTATTTTTATTTTTAATTTTAAGCCATTAATTTATTTTTGTCTCATAGAATTAGGTATGGGGAAAAAAGTTAGGTGTGGATGTTGAGTCTCAAATACAATAAGATCTCATTTTTTTCAAGATTTTGTAACTAGTATGTCCTAGTGGTATTGACAGCAGAACTCATGGATAAATGATAAGATTGTATCTGTGTGCATGATGTTTTAGTACTCTATTAGAGGAGTTATAGTAATGCAGTAGTCCCCCGTTATCTTCCATTTCACATTCCATGGTTCCAGTGCCAATAACAACCTTGGTCTGAAAATACAAAATGGGAAATTTCAGAAATAATTTATAATCTTTGAATAGTTCACCAAGCTGGGCTTATCTATAGTCCTAGCTACTTGGGAGGTTGAGGCAGGAAGATCATTCGAGCCTAGCAGTTTGAGACCAATCAATATGGGCAATATAGTTAGATTTGCTGTCAAAACAAAATAACTACCTACCTTTCTGAGTAGTGTGATGAAATCCTGTGTTGTCCTGCCCCAACCCATCCTGTCTGGTACAGTTAGGATATGAATCAGCTCCTTGTCTAGCATATATGTACTACCATCTGAGAGTCATCTGTAGCACTCTGTATAAGATCAGCTGTCACAATATCATAGTGCTTGTGATCAGTTTGCCTTATTTTCTTCACAGTAGTCCCAAAGCAAAAGAGCAGTGAATGATGCTTTTAATCACATCTGCTAAAGAGAAGCCATTAAGTGTCTCTTATGTGGAAAAGTAAACATTCTTAACCTAATTTTAAAAAATCACTTTTGATATAGAAAAGGCATTAAATTTGTATTTATATTTATAGGAACAACCAAGTATATTATATGTAGGGTTCACCTGTGTGTAGTTTCAGGCATTTATTGGAAACCTGGGAATATTTAGGTTTCAGATTTGTTTCTTAGATCAGGACCGTGCAGTAGTGTGGCATAGTAGTCTCATTAGTCAGCTCATGACTCAAATGCAGTCTCATTCTACCATGTAACCTTGAATCGCCTTGGAGCCTCAGGGGACTTCTCTGAATTTTAGTTTGCTGCCTCTTTGGTATTGTGGGTATTGAATTTGAGCCATGAATTCTGGACAGCTGCTCTACTTCTGTGCTATATCCTCAGTTCTCCTTCACCTTTAAGTGCAATTTCCTTTTCATATGGTTTCTTTTTCTGAGGAATATTTTATGTTACAGGGCCTATTTCTACATGTTTATTGTGTCTAAAGATTTTTTCATTTATATATAGTACATTTTTATTTACAGACAGTAAATCCACATGAGGAAGGGGCTGTCAGTTATATTACTTCCAAAGTAACTTTAGTGTCAACTGATTGACAGCATTTTGATTTTCCAGTTATATAAGAATGAGTTTTTTTTTAAATGAGTTTTTAATGTGTTTGTGTTTATTGATTGTCTGATTTTGTTCATTTCTTTCTTTTTAAATAGAACCAACTTTGAGTATCTACAAGAGGTACCTATCTTAACATTGGATGTTAATGAAGACTTTAAAGACAAGCATGAGAGTCTGGTTGAAAAGGT